ACAGGGGTTTCTTTTGAGGGACAAAAAATGTTTTCATATTAGATTGTAGTGATTGATATTTTGGTCAATTTTTAAAAAATGTGTGAATTACACTGAAAACCACCGAAGTGTTCAATCTAAAAGTTGAACTTTATGGCATATGAATTCTATCTCAACAAAACTGTTAATTTAAAGCATCTGAATCTGGGATGAGGGGTCTAGGTGTTGGTAATGCTAAAAGTCTTCCAGTTGGGCTAACATGCAGTCCAGGTTGAAGACAGTACTCTGTCCCAGTGATTGTCTCTGTAGGGCTCCAGGACCAGCATCAGCACTCCGGAAATTTGTAGGAACTGCAGATTCTTGGACTCTACTCCAGACCTATTAAATCAGAGACTTGTGTTTTAAAAAGGCTTCCAGGTGATTCTGCTGCTCACTAAAGTATGAGACCCTGTATAGCTAAAGCATTATTTTTAAAACAGTGAAATCAGGCAGACTTGGATTTGCAACCTTTTTTGTAGGACCATAGTTAAGTGAATGAATCCTTCTGTGTCTTGGTTTTCTTTTATAAAAATGTGAATCTCTATCCTCTTGTGAGGATACAATGAATTAGTGTATTTAAAGCGCTTTGCATGGGACATGGCCCATAGTAAGGGCTCAGTAATGACAGATGCTGTTATTGTTATACTTACTTGGGAGCTTGTACCATGATATCAGTAGAAATTGTGCAGTTAATTCTAGAACTGGTCTCTTGCAGCTTTGTCCAGTGTCCCCCTCCCCAGCACCTATCCTGACCTCCATCCATGCCCCTGCAGTAGCAGGTGTCAGGGAAGAAATCACAGATCTGGGTGAAGGGAGAGGTGCTCCTGCAGAGACTGACTGAATTTCTCTGTGAGGTCAGATGTGTGAACATAGTCAGGCTTCCATGTTGGGATTTTGATGGGGAGTGGGAGGTGGAGGTGGGAGAAGACAGGCAGAAAAGCAGGCTGAGGGTCAGAGGGGAGCACATTGCTAGTCTAACTAGGTTGTGAATTCTTTGCTTTCCGTGGGAAGACTTCCCCTGGGCTTGATGTTGATGAGGAAGTCTGGTGAATAGAACAAATGGAACGTTTTGGTTAGAGTTAGAGCTCTTTTATTTGCTTTCAGAGTGTTTAACATGGTTCTCTGGAACCTCTATAGTTTTGAGAATAGTTTTGAGGTGCTTTCAAAACATTTAATCTTGTGTAACTCTTCTCAGAGTACCATGAAGTAGGTATTATAGCACCCTCCCACTTTACAATACTTGGAGAAAATGGGGTTCAGAAAACCTGCACAACGTGACCAAGGTCACAGAACCCAAAGGAGGTAGGAATCTGAGCCACTGTTCTTTTAGGTGAAATGTCACCTCTTGGGTCATCCAAGAATATGGGGATGCAGAGTTTCTCCAATGTTGCCTTGGAATCACCTTGGAGTGCTTGATTAAAATCAAGCCCCTCTTCAGACCTGCTGAATCAGAATCTCATGATCAAGCCTGAGAACCTGTGCTTTTAATACATACTCCATGTGCGGCTGGGTTTGGGCATCGCTACCCTGGATCTGTGCACCTTAACCCAGGCACCATTCTCTTTCCCTGCCACTTCCCTACCCACTACAGTCTGTGCTTCCCAATTCCCAGTGGGTTTATGTTGTTTGAACTTTCATAATAAACTCCCCTGTTAAAGTTCTATTAAAAATCTCAACTGAAACGTTTTAAGAATCTGCCTGGACATTTGGGAGGGCAGGGAATTGGCAGTAGTGCTCTTGGGAAAGTGTCTCTGAGCAAATCAAGTGACACAAATAATCATCCAGGGGAAACACCTGCCAGAAAGGAGCAAACACTTTTTTCTCTCCTTTCATTCTGAGCAGACAGTTATTGGCTATTTTTGTTAAATGTATCTTTTGATCTGTATTTCTTGAGTCACGTAAGAGGGTTTTTTTGATGAGGTCTCTCTCTAAGAGGTCAATCTGGGTCTAAAGGGACAGTAGTGGCCTTCTCAATGGAGGCTAGAAGGGTGGGAACTGAGACTGAACCAGTGTAAAAGAGCTATCACCTCCCCTGCACAGGCTCCTTGTGACCCTGGAGGTTGAATAACTACCGTGCTAATTGCAGGTGTGACTTCTGTAAAATGGCCACAGTGTTAAATTTGAATTTCAAAAATCCATTGAAGGCTCTTAATCTTTTTTTTTTCTTTTTGGCAAATAACTTTGCCCCAAGGATCTTTAGGAACCTAGAATAAAATAATAATAATAAAGTAGAAGCTTTTTAAAAGCTTTCTCTTCCCCCAGTCTGAGAACTTGGGAACAACAGCTCCACTAAGACAATGGGGAAAGGACATAGGTGATTATTATTCCCTCAGGCTCAGTAGACAAAGTGTCCGGCTTATAGCTTTGTAGGGCTGGTGGGGAGAGGGTGTAGATGGGCCCAGAGCAGGGGTGTCCTCATAGGAGGAGAAGGAGGATGCAGCCAGTACCACCTTAATGTGGCTAGCTACGGATTTCTATCCTCTTGGATGGGTGTGCTCTGTCTATGACCAGCAGGCTGTGCTGCCAGTCCTCGGTGTCAGGACCCTCCAAGGTGTGGCTCTCCTGTCTCCCTGTGTGTCCTCAGGGATCTTGCACCATCTTCTCTGGGCCCTGCATTGATGGGAATCTCTCTATCCCCACAGAGGTTCTCAACCCTCCCTTGCCTGTGTCACTCTCCCTGTTTATCATTTGTAGCCAGTGCCCAGCTGGGTCTCAGGCTGTTTACACAGATTCAGGGGAGAAGGAACTTTTTGGCAAAAGATAGTTACTCTGGCTTTCCATTGTTCTTTGGATAAAGATACAGATTTTTTTTTTTTTGAGTCGGAGTCTCACTCTGTCGCCCAGACTGGAGTGCAGTGGCCACTCCCGGCCACCGCAGCCTCGACCTGCTGGGCTCCGGCGATCCTTCCGCCTCAGCCTTCCGAGTAGCTGGAACTACAGGCGTGCGCTACCACGCCCGGCTGATTTTTTTTTTTTTTTATTTATTGTAGAGATGAGGTCTCGCTGCCCAGGCGAGTCTCGAACCCGCGGGCTCAGTCAATCCACTCACCTCAGCCTCCCAAAGGCGCGGGATTACAGGCTGAGTCACCGAGCCCGGCTAAGATACAAATCTTTAACAAGGACACTTAAGATCAGGTCCTGCAAAATTGGACTCTGCCTACCTCTCCAGGTTTACATTATTCTACTCTGCATATCTGTATATTCACTTTTCTTTATTAGGAAAAGAAAAAATATGTGTGCATGATAATAATAATAATAACCACAACGGTGGAAAAATGCACACTGGATTTCTCCAGTTCCCTAAATGCGCAGGCATTGGTGCCTGCTGGCTCTTCTGGGTACATCCACCACTGTCCCCTGATTGACACCTTCCTGTCCCTGGAACTCAGCTCAGATGTCCCTTTCTCAGGGCACCTTACCTGGCTCTCTAGACTAGACCAGCCACGGGCTTCCTTGTGCTTACCTTGGTGTGTGGAGCAGGGTTGGCACTCAGTTAATAATTGCTGAGCGAATGAATGGAGGTCAGGAAGCTCAGATCGCTGGCTACCCTGGGACTTTCCTGGCTCTTCTCAGAATTCCATCGAACGTACTGGTTTTGTGTGTGTGCATGTGTACTTAAGATTTCATGACTATCAATATTTTAAATGATCCTGAACTCTGGGAGACCTGATCTTTCTAATTTGTTGGATTCAATTGCGTAAGTCTTAAAGTGACAGCTAAAGAACCAACATTGCTGACTGTCACAGTAATTCAGGGTCCTGTGTGCAGCCTCCAGGCAGCCTAGGTTCTAGAATGCTTTTCAGCGTGTTGCTGTTTGGTTCTTATTTGTGAGTACAGCTCAGAGGTGCTGAATTAGTGCTTGGCTGGGTTTCTTGCTCCTCGTGTATCTTAGTCATCTACCAGTGTGGGTTCTTTTAAAGGGCACTGGGTCATGGTGACATAGAAGCCAGTGGCCATTCCCGTGGTGACATGGGGTCCTCATTCCCTCCCTTGGGCAGTACAAAGTAAGTGAGATTTTAGTGACGCAGTCAGTGACCCATGTTGCTGGGAAGCTATTTTCTGCTGCAATGTGAATATGGGCTTAGTTAACAAGGTGCTCCAATGCTAGTGAACTTACCGATGCCATGTCACAAAATTCCATGCTCTCCATGTCTTTCAAATAGAAATTGGGGAAGAATCCCTTCAGACCATTAGCATTGCCTAGTCCTTTTTGAAGGTATGACTCAGTAATGAATTATGAAACCAAATGTGTGGATCATGACTGGAATTAAAAAAAAAACAAAAGGAAATAGCATAGACATATATCAACTTGCAATACCCATAGTGAAACTTTTGTGAAACCTTTCTTTCTTTCCTCTCCTCTTCTCTCTTTCCTTTCCTTTCTTTTCCTTTCCTTTCCTTTCCTTTCCTTTCCCTTTCCCTTTCCTCTTCTTTCCTTTCCCTTTCCCTTTCCCTTTCCTCTCTCCTTCCCTCCCTTCCTCTTTCTTTCTTCTTTCCTTCCTCTGTCTCTTTTTCTCTCCCTTCCTTCTTTCCTTATTTATTTTTTGAGTCAGGGTCTCAATCTGTTATCTAGGCTGGAGTGTAGTGGTACTTTCACGGCTCACTGCAATCTTGACCTCTTGGACTCAAGTGATCCTCCTTCCTCTACCTCCCGAGTAGCTGGAACTACAGGCATGCACCACCATGCCTAGCTATTTATTTTTGTAGAGACGCGGTCTCTCTCTGTGTTGCCTAGGCTGGTCTCAAACCCTTGTCTTCAAGCAGTCCTCCCACTGCAGCCTCTCGAAGTACTAGGATTACAGGTGTGAGCAACTGTACCCAGCCAAAATTTTTTTTTCAGTGTGTGTGTGTGTGCACATCTGGGTCACACTATAAAATTTATTTCATTCTTGCAGTCAAAATATCCCATGACCACAGCTTTAGAGCATGTTTTACTTGGACTTTCCAGTGTCATTACCACCTGTGTTTTGCTTTTCTTAAAGGTATGCAAAATCCAGTCAGATCAAGACTGTGTCAAGCAGCAAGATATTTTTTAAAGGAAGTAGATTCCGATACAGGTGGGTACCAATGGGTCCTTTTTGGTGATGGGGTAGGGATGGGGGAATCCATTTACCTTTGAATATTTTGTTTATAAATACGTGCCCTTGGGCTTGTGGCTCTGCTTTGTCTTCTGTCTGCACTCTACAGCTCTCTCATGCTCACAGGACCCTCTCAAATTCCATGGTAATTTACCCTCATGAATTTCTATAGCTGGGTCAGGCCACTGTGGAGTTAAAAAATGGTGCCTGTGCATATCCCTGCCCATCTACTCTGAGTGTCTGTGCACACACATTGTGTCCCTGTCTTTTTCAGTGGTAAAGTTGCCAAAGAGGTGGTGGAGGCCAGCTCCAAAATCCAGAGAGAGCCTCCTGAGGTGCACAGGTGAGTGGTTGGGTGGTCCTTTTGGGTTCTGGGTGGCTTCTGGGATGGACAGAGGGATTTAAAGGCTGGCTTTTCCAAATTCCCTGTAATGTTCCTGTGTGTAGTGATGTCCAGCATTAAATAAGGACACTCTCACCTCCTTGATAGTCTTCCTCAGACAAACTTAGCTGGGCTGTGGTGACGTGAGTGCAGCTGAGCTCCACTCTGAGTTACTCACTCTTTGGAGAGTCATTGGTAGGTCTGGAGTGTCACCTGAATAAGTAGGGTATGGGAGGTGCGGCTGTACCTCTTGGTACACTCCTGGCCAAACTCTGATATCCTGTCCTTTTAGAAGTGCTCTCTGTTCCTGCCTGCATTCATCAGATTTGGCCGGTTTCCACCGGCCTACTCCTACTGGGTAGGCTGTCTTACACGAGGGGAGAGGCCTACCTCTCATGGGGCCCGTGACTCCCAAGGGTCATACAGAGGAATGAAGGACTGAGTTATTGATGGTTCAAGATTTGCATCTCCACTAAGGTAATGATGTGTGGTGCTTCTTAGGAATTAAATATTCTCTTGGCCATGTTGAACTTCTTACCACCACAATTTACACGAATCATTGTATATTCCACACCTCAGACATGTTAAATATGTAAAGCTGAATATTCTTGTTATGACACCTCCTCCTTTTAAAGGCAAGATCATCATAAGTTATATTCTTTAGTAAGTTCCACAGATACTGTTTGATGCCTACCCTTCCTTTTCCTTCTTGGAACCTAGAGATGTCTACCTTATGCTCAGATTTGTCCAATCTCTTCCATTAGGGTGACTTCTAGAGTGAGCTGAGTGACTTCCCACCCTGTCTCCTGGGGTTGTCAGTGGGAGGAGGCTGTTGTTCCTAAGAAATGTGGTTAAGCCAGCCTGGCATGGCATCTAGACGACACTTCTCGCCCACACCAGGGGTGCAGAACTGCAGTTGTAATAAGATCTCGTGCAGATGATCATTCCTGTTTTTGGATGGCCCAGTGGGGAGCCATCACATGCAAGACTGCAAAACCAGTCACTCCTGCTTTAAGAAGCAGGAGAAAACTGCAGGGCTAGAGAAAGCGGAACACCTTGGCAGTGGGCACCTCTGGTTAATACCTGAATATCTTTGGCTTGCCACACCAATGAGAAAAGTCTCTTGATGGACCCCTCCCCTGTCCCAAATTGTGGTTATTCAGTGCAGCAGCAATGAAAAAGAAGAAACGGTAAAACGGATCGTTTCATCTCTTCCAGAATCTTTGTTCTGGAAATGATCTCAGGGACTGCCTAGTCTGATGCTTCTGATTTATAGACCAGGAAACTTCAGTGTCAAACAATTTAAGTGATTCATCCAAGGCCCTAAATTTTTTTTTTTTTTGAGTTGGAGTCTCACTCTGTCGCCCAGACTGGAGTGCAGTGGCCGCTCCCGGCCACCGCAGCCTCAACCTGCTGGACTCCAGCGATCCTTCCGTCTCAGCCTTCCAAGTAGCCAGAATTACAGGCGTGCACTACCACGCCCGGCTGATTTTTTGATTTATTGTAGAGATGAGGTCTCGCTGCCCAGGCGGGTCTCGAACCCGCGGGCTCAGGCAATCCACTCACCTCAACCTCCCAAAGGCACGGGATTACAGGCTGAGCCACTGAGCCCGGCAGCCCGAAATTTTTTTGATGGCAGACATAAGCCTAGACCTCCAGTATCCTGCTTCTGCGTTCTGAGCATTTTTCTATGTAGCACCCTGAAACCTTCTGGCCTTTTCTTGGAAGCTAGTAGTAGAGGCAGCACAACCCCGAGTGGTTAAGTTTGGGTTTTATTCTTCTTGTTTGAAGCTCTACTGTTTTATCTTAAATACTTGTTACTAGAGGAGTTTCTTGAAGGTACAAACACAGATCAGAAAACTGGTTTTTTTGACAATTACTTTCAGAGAGACAAAAAATATAAGGCTTTCCAAGAGTCTCATAGTTACCATCTATGGGTGGTTAATGAATACTTCTCTTATAAATTGAGGTCTGCATTATTCATGGAAACCAAGGTTTCCTGGCTCAGGGTCTCTCAAACTTGAACTTTCACAGGGATCACCTTGGGATCCTGTTGAAAATACACATCCTTATTCAAAAAGTATGGAGTGATACTCCCTTCCTTCCTTCCTTCCTTCCTTCCTTCCTTCCTTCCTTCCTTCCTTCCTTCCTTCCTTCCTTCCTTCTTTCTTCCTCTAGTCAGAATCCCACTCTGTCACCCAAGATGGAGTGCAGTGGCATAATCACAGCTTTCCACAGACTCAAACTACTGGGTTCAGGCGATCCTTCTGCCTCAGCCTCCTGAGTAGCTAGGACTTCAGGCACCCGTCAGCACGTCCAGCTAATTTTTTTGATTTTTGTAGAATCGAGGTCTCACTGTCTTGCCCAGGCTGGTCTCAAACTCCTAGGCTCAAGTGATCCTCCCACCTCAGCCTCCCATAGTGCTGGGGTTATAAGCATGAGCCAGTGTGCCTGGCCTTAGTCTGTAGTTCTATGTAGCTTCCAGGTGTGGCCATTTGGCTGGCTCTTTGAGTGGACAGGCTCTTGATAAAAGGTTGTGGAGGGATGAAGGGAATGGGTTTTCTGGAGTGAAGCACTCTTCCTGGAGTGGACTGAATCCCTGATGTAGAAGGGAAATGAATACATGCTGAGGCATCCAACAATTCATTGTTTCCCTTTTCTAGAATCTTCTAAAATCTTCCAAGGTATTACGGCAAAAAAAAAGACTTAGAAACCCTTGAGACCATATTCACATGCTCTTTCTTTCTCTTCTACCACCTCCAGTGTATGCAAGAGACTATTGGGTCCACATCCTCAGGATGCCTCTGTGGTCATCTGTTCTTTGGCAGCATCTCTCAGATCTCTGACAACACCAGAAAGAATTTGGTTGAAGTAATGCTAAAAGCAAGCTCTGGGAGACAAGGGCTGTATCTGTCTTGGTCATCTCCATATCCCTCAGCACCCAACACAGTGTTTGGCATATAGCAGAGGCCAGTACACATTTGTTGAATGAATGCATACACTAGGAGTGTGGGAAGACAGCCACACCTGTCATTTTTGGAAACGTGAGATCTGTCCAAGGTGCTGCCCTAGGGACCTTGATTTCCCCTGAGGCAGCATTGTGACCAGAGCCATGGTGATGTGTAATACTTTCTTGCTGGTAACTCCTCCTTCCTTCCTAGTGGCCAGTTGTATCGGAGTAAATTGTTTCTCTTTGATAATTCTTTTATTTCCAAATTATTTCAAGTTCTTTGGTGTGGCTCTCAAAAGTGAGAGTAGAATAATGGGCTCTCCTTTTCTTTTTCTCCTTGTCAGTAGGCACTCAGAGGTAACTATTAGTCTAGAGTGGTGATGATAAGGTTTTCATTAGCTGTCTTTCCTCACATCTGAGATTCTGCTTGTCAAAGAATGACAAGTTTAAGGAGTCCTACTTCTGCTGAGGAGGGTGTGTGTGTGTGTGTGTGTGTGTGTGTGTGTGTGTGTGTATGTGTATGTGTGTGTGTGAGAGAGATGAACTGAAAATACTGATGACAAGATTTCCAAGCAGAGATTTCCCTGACTGGCTACTGAGTGAGAATTACTTGCCCATCCCAGAGGCCCAGGGAGGCAGACAACTACAGCTTGGTGAGCCCAGGGCTGGCTGTAAGCCACCTGGGCATAGCAGCCACCCCCAGCAGACACCCAGAGGCATTATTTGTATCTGAAATGAGCAAATGTGCAAGAGTCACAAATGGCTTCTCTTCTTGGTTGTGTCACTTACCAGCTGTGTGGCCTTGTGTGAGTCACTTAACTTCTCAGTTCATCAGTTTATTCATCTATAAAATGAGATTCATAACATTGCTTTGTCTGTTTTTTAGGTTTTATTATAGGGACTAAAATAAAATGCTTTAAAAATCATAAAGAGCCACATACATATGAGGTGGAGATATTATTTCTACTGTCTCTCACCCAAATATGAGAAGCTAGACTATGATAGATGCATTCACATTACAATCCCTCAGATGAAGTTTTTAGAGGCTAGATAACAGGCCAGCACTACTTTTATTTTCAAGGAGAGGTACTGGAATCCCATGAGCTTAATTTTAGACATTATATTTTATGCCACCATAACACATTTTTAGTCAGGTTATATGACATCAGTTTTCTCATCTGTAAATAAGGTATTTTTCTTACCTATCTTACAAGCACATTGAGAAAAACAAATGGGTAAAGTGCCAGTGTTAGAATGTCCTTGCAGTTTCCAGAGGAACCCTTTCTTTCTCAACTGAGGTCTTAATGACAGTCCAGAGTTTTCATTTGGAGATTGTTCTATGCTGGGAGTACATGCATGAGTGGACTGCAAAGTGGACCAAGCATTTTTGCAGATCAGCTGATGGATGGATTCTGAGAGTGGAGAAACTGGGCACATATGCCAGCCTGTCCTAGGGAGACCCCAGCCATAGAAGTGATACTGAGGAAATCAGGTGAAAGTGCAGAGTGGAAGCTGGCTGGGACATTTGCCCATACTTTAGAAAAGTGCTCAACACAGTGGGACCTCATGTAGCTAGAGACAAAAGGGCATTTTAGGGGGAGGGAACAGAGTCCCCTTGGTTTGTTTCAGGCTGAATCATGTAGAAAGGCAATGTGGAGTGCAGCAAAAGCACCAGCCTACAATCAGATGATGTGGCTTTCAGTCCTGAGTCTGCTCATATAAGTGTCTTTAGTCAAGACACTCTGAGTCTTGGTTTCTCATCTGTAAATATGGCATTTACCTTGCCTATCTTATAGGCACACTGAGAAAAAAAGATGAGATAAAGTATATGTAAACCACTTAGCAAATGAAAAAAAAGGAGCCATTCAAGTTCTGGTATTTTATTTGTTGTTAGAACAACTGTGCTGGTGGGATCTTGCTTTAAATGAAGCCTAGATCAGTTGGCACCTTAAGAAAGTTGCAAAAAGAGAATTAGATAAAAAGGCATAATCTTTAGCCCCAAGGAGTTTCAGTTATATTAATTCATTCAGGCTGCTTTAGCAAAATATGACAGACTTGGTGACTTATAAAAAACAGAAATTTATTTCTCACAGTCCTAGAGGTTGGTAAGTCTGAGATCAAAGTGCCTGCAGATTTAACGTCTGGTGAGGGTTCATTTTCTCATAGATGGTGCCTTTTTACTGGGTCCTCATGTGGTGGAAGGGGGAGACAAGTTCCCTTAGACTTTTTTATATGGACACTAATTCTATTCAAGGTGACTATAACCTAATCACCTCCCGAGGGCCCCGCCTCTTAATACCATTACATTGAAGATTAGGCTTCAACAAATGAATTTTGGGGGAACCCAGACTTTCAGACCATAGCAGTAGGGAAAGGTGAGAGCTCTGCATTATTTTTTCTAATCTTGCTTACTTTTTCCCCCCAAGCTGTCATAGTGTCTAACACCAGGGCTTGAGACCCTGGATTCTAGTTGTGTCTGTCTTTGGGTTTATCTGCATCTTATACTTATCAGGGAAGAGATATTCCTCTCTGAAACATAATTTTGGAGAGTCTTGGGGTTGTAACCCATTGCTGGAGTCATCTGGTCTAATCCCAGGCATACCCTGTATGCCCCTGTCCGTAGCCATGAGCTCCTGCTACAACACAGCAGCAGAAGCCTGTGAGCATCTGGGTTAAGATGGCATCCTCCTAGCCATCCAGTGTCAAGGCACAATCAAGCCTAGGAGTTCATCCCTGGTGAGGTCAGCCTATCCTAGGACCATGTAATTGCCTGGACATTGAGATGTTGCAGGGTGGGCGGCAGGATGCTTGATACATCCAGTGGAAGAACGTTAGGAGGAAGGCTGATGGTGAGCAAAAGTTCCCCATAAAGCCTGGCTGAGAGCCCATCATTGTAGCATAAGCAGTGATTCCTAGGGATTGGACAGCTGCCAGCTCAGCTGATAGGGATGGTCAGAGATGGGGTAGAGCCATTCAGAGTCACTTTGTGCAAAGGTGGATGGATGGGCTTTTCAGAGCTACAACAGTCCACATCTACATGGCAATATGTTGTGCTTTGCAGAGTTAGAATTACAATCATGAACGACCATAGGGCCAGAGTAAATCCCAGGAGAGCTAAAAAATGGAGGACCTTCACAACAAAAGAAGGAACTGCTCATGGCAAAGGAGCTCCTCTCTCCCTTCCTTCCTTCTTTCTGTTTTTTTTTTTTTTTTTTGCAATTTTAAAGATGTGGGGCACAATTCAGGGTTAGGTATGCAAATGTTCATTATACAGGTACCCTTGTTGATGAGGTGTGCCCCCCCTTCCCTGGCAGTTTCCCACTACTGCCAATCCGGCTCCCCAGTCCCATGGCAGTTCCCCACTACTGCCAGTCCCTTTCTTATAGTATTATGATAATTGTTCAAGGTCCACTTATGAGTGAGAACATGTGATACTCAGTTCTCTGTTTCTGTGAAAGATCACTCAGTATTATAGACTCTGATTCCACCCAGGTTGCTGCAAAGTTCATGATTCTTTCTTTCTTTATGGCTGCACAATGTTCCCAATCCTTTTCCTATAAAATCCACTGTGCTCATTAGAGCTTACTGCAGGTGTCACCGCCCATGGGAGGTTGTCCCTGGCTCTTCCCTCAGTCACACAGGGTCGGGGTCCCCTCTTTAGTACGCTCATGTGACCCTTAGTCATCAGTCACCTTCATAAGAGGCATGCTTTTCCAGCTGTGGTTATAGTACATTAGTGAGTCATGAAATGAAGACCGATGCTTCAAACAAAATGAAGTCGAATTTTAAAAAATAATGACTTATAGCTACAGTTACTACTGTTGCATAAAATATTTATTTTGGTTGTGTGTCTTCCTGTGTGTGTGGCAGGGGAGACAGAGAGGGAATATAAAATGTATATCTTAATGTGGGTCTCAGACAAGTTGGACAATCATGCTTCTAGATCCTGAGTTATTTAAGGCAAGGACTACAGTTTCCCAGAAGAAAGCAGAATGTCTAATACATACATATCAGCTGCAAAGTGAGTGTATGTAGAATGAAAGAATAAAGAAAAGGACTCTGTGGTTAATTTACTTTCCAGCCAGTGCCAGCTGTGAGAACTTTTAAATCAAGACACTAGCAGGTATCTTACTCTTTCTTGCTCCTCCCACACCCAATGGAAATGCTCAGGCTAGAAGGCAGAACCAGCTTAGGGAGTACTGGCCAGGTGGAAATGGCAACCAGGACTGCATTCAGTTAACTTCAGTTTCAAACCTGAACACACCTTAACAGGACACCTACTGGGGCACTGTGAGGACACGGGAATAGCTAGGTCAGTCTCTGCCTTGAGGCGCTTGTTAAGTGGAACTGGTACAGACGCCAATCACTAGAGAGAGGTGACAAATGAGCTGAGCTGTGAAAGAAGAGAGAGCTGTGTGTGTGTGTGCGTGTGTGTGTGTGTGTGTGTGTGTGTGTGTGTGTGTGTGTGTGTGTTGCAAGAGGCAACCCAGGAGGACTTCAAGGGGAAGGACACATTTGACACCATCTTCAAAGGATAGGTTGGTTTTGGTTTTGATGGGTAATATGCGAGGGGGAAAGGTGCTCCCTGAAGACTAGGGAAGGCGGCTGGTCTTCCTGCAGCAGGCAGTGTAAACAGGCATCCTAGCCACCTGCCAATAGTCTTCATGAGAAACCTGCACAGTTTCATTGCCATCTGCTGCCGGTCACAGCCACTAACACCCCTGCATGCTCCTTTCCGAAGGAGAAAACAGCCGTGACCAGCTGATGAGTAGGGAGTAACTGAGAATATTAAACACTGATGTTAAACATTGGACATCCAGCAACACAGAGAGTTCGTAGCTGTAGAACATCTGTGCCATCTATCTGGCAGGGTTTTGTTTGTGTTTTGTGGTGGTTGTCCAGTGTCTCTGAGCCATACCCTTCATCACCTTTCTGCATTTCTAGTTCGGTGATAACTGCCTCCCCAACTTTTTGTTTACTGTTTCTCTTTAAATGCCCTGGTTGTCACCTAGCATGCTCAGGTCTGGTGACACGTAGGGAACTCTATTTTCTTTCACTGGGTTGCATGAAGACATATGGACATCTTGTCAGGACCATAAGGACAGAAAGGGCTATGTGTCTTGAGCATTATGTCATCTTTACACTGGTTCAAGTGTGTGTCTAGATGCCGTTTCCAGCCTGGGTAGACCACTGAGTTGGAGGGGCCAGCTTTCGCACTAGAAACCAACTCTAACTGGCTTGTGTCTGTTTCCAGAGCCAACATTACTCAGAGCCGCAGTTCCCACTCCTTGAACAAACAACTCATCATTAACATGGAGCCTCTGCAGCCCTTGCTTCCTTCCCCTAGTGAGCAAGAAGAGGAACTTCCTCCGGGTGAGGGTAAGTCATCCATTTCCTTCCAAAGGCTCACTCTGGAGGAATGAAGGAGGCACCCATTCTATGTATGTTGGATAGTGAGTTTTGTGGGGAGGGTTCTGGGGTGAGTCATAAACTATGTTTTCAGTAAGTAAGCTTTTCACAGCTGGAAGGCCGTGTGATGTTGTGAGTTCTATTAGTTTCTCCTAGAGAGAGTTCACTGGTACAAAGTATTTCTACAATTACACGTGGAAGCACTAATGGTGTCAGACCTACACTAACCAAGGTGGTAACCACTAGCCATGTATGGCTATTTAAAACAAAGTTTAGGTTCGTCAGAATTAAAAATCCAGTTACTCAGTCACACTAGCCAGATTTCCAATGCTTAGTAGCCACATGTGGTTGGTGGCTGCCATATCGGACACTGAAACTTGGAATGTTGTCTTCATCACGGGAAGTTCTGTGTGATGGTGTTGTTTTCTACTGTAACCACAATTAAATTGGTAATTATAAAGAATTCTCCACAAGTATCTCTACCCTGGGCATCCCCTTTCTGCCTCACTATTTTCCCAGCCTCTTGTTTCCTTTTCCTCAGTTATGTTGGCTAACGGTTTTGATACAAGCCTTAATAAATGAAATGTTCACTTCCACCCAAAATTTTTTATATTTTTAAAGACAACCATGTATGTCTAGGCTTTTTAAAGAACGTCAGGGAAGAAGCTCATCACACTGCTTGCTGCAGACACCTGGTGAGGCAAATCTCACATTCTTATTAATTTCAAAGTAAATTGAAAATAAATACATGCAAAATAAAGGTTATTGGAATCCTGGATACCAACATGACTTTCTTAACATTTTATGATTTTTTGTTTCATCCTTGAAAATTTGGCAGTTTCAAGAGAGTAGTTCATTCTGTTCCCAAAAGATCACCTTCACCTCTAGCTTCAAGTGAAGGCTTCTGTTCATAGAAGAAAACTTTTCAGTGCATAATAATGCTATGGCTATCTGCATACTGTTGGGAGAGGTACCAGTAACTGATGTGTAAAGAATTTTGACAAATAATTTCCTGAAGGGAAACTTTGATGGTTAGAAGGAGAACTGGGCAGCTGGAGCCCAACAGGTTGAGGCTACAGTAGCTGGGCATGTGCCACTGCACTCCAGTCTGGGCAACAGAGTGAGACTCCAACTCAAAAAAGAAAAGAAAAGGAGAACTGACGGTTGAATGCCAAAAATGGATAGAGGGAGAGTATGCAAAATATATAAGATGGGCTCTTGGAAGACACCTTTTATCCCCCACTGGGTCACAAAATACAATGATAATAGTCTTGTTTTAATGACCTTCCCTGTCTGTCTTAACAATGAGTTCTATAAGTTTCGTGTTAAATTTAATTTTCCTAGCCAGAATCTCTGGGTCCATGTTGCTTGTCTATGTTTTTCAGCAGATTTGTTCCACATCTGTTTGTGTGTGTTTTGCAAGTGAAAAAAAAAAGCAGCTTTCATTTCTGATCACTGATAGTTTTCTGGGTTTCCTCCCGTGTATGCCCCGAATATTGCTTTGAGTGACTTTTTCTGAAGGTCATGAATGTTGAATGAAGGAGGATGTGGTTAATGGAAGAGAGAGGAGAAAGGACAGCTCCCAACTGGAATTTAATTGTACCTTGTCTGCAAAGATGGAATCCTAGATGGAAATAAAATTTAGAGGACCAGACTGGTTGATTGGTTGTCATGGGGAAATATGGAACCCAAGCCATGACTGTCTAGGAGTCCCCCAGGATGTGAAGGGTTACCTGGGCAAGCTTTACTCTGGATCTCTCACCCCATTCAATTAGAAACATCCATTTTCTGTAGTGATTTCGCTGCTACATATTGGCTGTGTCTTTAACATAGAAACTATATTGACAGTAGACAAACCATCATAATTAACTGCAATATATATTTTTTAAAAATTCATGGTGCATGATAGGAATGCACAAGCTACCTTTTCAGTTTTCCCAGATGTTTTAAAGAACTACATTAAATCCTTTCATCAGTGGTAAAGCCAAACTGATGGTTCTCTCTCTCTTAAAAAGTCTGCAATAGCTCTATAAGTGTCTAATAAAATTATTTTCTTCAGGAGATTTGTCTCCTTATAGGACATATTTGTAGGTTTTGAAGAGCAGACAAATCACAACAACCTCTAGGTTATAGAATCAGTTTAAAAGGAAGAGGAGTAGAAATATCAATTTTATTAATTATTAAGAAAATGCAGTGATCTTCCTTGTCTGGAGTAAGAGCAAAATAATGCTAGGCACCACGAAATTAAAAGGCTTATTCCCACAGCGGACACAGCTCTGAGTTGTGGATAACATTGCATCTTGGTTACAGGTCGAATTCTGTTCCACGTCTCTTGTCTTTGAGTGTCAGGCAATGAGATTCAGACATTCCATATGATGAATATTTATTTTATAGATTTATGGCTGATATATAAGAGAAGAGAGACAGAGAATGTAGCTCTAAACAACGATGGCATTTCTGCCTTTGTGGATGGGCCCTGTGGCTAGGCTTTTGAGCACATGATGAATTTTGTTTTGTCCTTACATTTTAATATTTTATTACTTATGTCTGAGCAAGAGCCAAACTTAAAGAGACTGGGAATCATTCACTCCTTAATGCAACAGCTGTAACAGATGCCACTTAAACAGCTTGTGGACCACTCCTGCTGTGGGCTATAGAGATGGAGACTCTCCCAGGAGACTCATAGCCTGTTGGGGAGATGGCAGTGGAATCACAGAGGCCAGAGTAAGTTCTCTTTCTGCTGCTTGAATTGTGTGCTCGCTTTTCTGTGTGTCCAGCCAGATATCAGGGCCTTGAGCTGCCTGAAGAACTTCCTGTTCCTTTTTAGTCACATTGGAGCATCTGACATAAAATTAGTAGGCAGAGGAATAAATGGATGAGCTGGACAGGAAGGAGTGATGAGTGGTCTCTTCCACCTGCATTGGTTGCGTGTGTGGTTTCAGGGCAGAGGGCTTCAGGGAATGGTAGAGGTGAAGCAGAAAATTAGAAAAGGGCCAGATCACGATAGGTCTACTGTTCCTTGCTGGAGAGTTTAGACTTTCACCTGAGAGCAACTGGAAGGCGCTGAAAGATTTCGGGCATGAACTTGACCTCAATGGAATGGTATTTAGTATCACTCCGGTGGCACATAGAGAACAAATCAGAGGTGGGTGTGGCTGAAGCCGAGTTTCTCAACCTCAGCGCCATTGATCTTTTGATTGGGGCAGTTATTTGTTGGGGGACTATCTTGTGCACTTGTAGGATGTTTAGCAGCACACTTGGCTTCAACCCCACCCGTCTTGACAACCCAAAATGTCTCCAGATTTTGCCAAATGTCCCCTGGGGAGCAAAATGGCTCTCTGCTTGTAGAACCACTGGTTTGCAGGCACAGAGACCACGCAGGAATCACTGGAATAGTCCAGAGAGTCGATACGCAAGGTTGAAGTAGCCAGAGAGAATGCAACTAGGGAGGATTCAAGGCACAGTAAGAGGCAGAGTTGTGGAGACAGGGTTACTGATTACTTAGCAGGTTCACGGTCTATGACTCACATTGTCCAGGTCCTGCCCTGTCTCAGAAACATAAAGTGTGAGTGAAAAACCTTCAACTCTTTATTTTAAAGATGAAACTGTAGAGACACAGAAAGGTTATAGAGGTGTGTCAGCATCATGCAGAAAGTGCATAGCAAATACATGATTTCGTGGAGTTGTCAGAACCATCAAGAGAGTCATGTATTGCTGGTGCTTCTCTGAGCTTCAAGCACAGAGTGGTGAGACTCAGATGTCACCACTCACCTTTGATGTTGCTGTTCCCTATCTGGATATAATGGCTTGGATTCTTGCTTGGGGAAGTTTTGAATGACATATTTTGGAACTAGATTGATAAACAGGTCAAGATCAGCAGCCTGAGCCCTGTTAAAAAGAGTTGTCTAATTAGGAATTTTAAAAAAATCAGGTTGGGAGAAGAAAGACAGTCTTAGCCCTGACCTTTAGAAGCTCCATCTCCAAGTCATGAGAAGGTCCTGCCACCTTGTCTTGGGTGATGTAATTGTTAGGGGCATCTCTGCTGCCACCATAGCTCTCTGGGGTCATGACAACCCATTTATCTGACAAACTCTTTCCATTCTTTTCACGTTTCTCAAAGACAGCTGGGAAAAGTATTATTACCCAGATTAAACCAGTGATGTTTTGGAAGAATGTGTGACCCCATTCACCCATATGACAGCTGGAGGATTAGATCTAAAGTTGGCTGTGTCTGGGTAGAGAAAAAACAAAATCAGTTCCTAGGCACCATTAGGCAACAGGAACATTTTCAATGCTCACCCCAAAGTTGCTTGGTTACAGGATATGAGAGAACTAGTGCTGTGGACAACTTTAGATAACAAGGGCAAACGGTTCGAAAAGTGCCACTTAGCGCTTATAAGAATTTCGGGAGAAGAAAAACTTGAGAGTGGGAATTATTCTGGGTGAAATGACATTTTAAGGAGTCATTCATCTGAGTGATTTCACAAAATGGAGCCGGTTATCCTTGATGTAGATAGGAAAACGCCTGTGTGTTTTATTGGTGGAGTGTGTTTCTCATTAGGGAAGAATGATGGATTATAGTAGAGAAGGAAGGTGAAATTAAGTGTGCGAGACTTGGTAACTGGACATAACTGACACACCGTGAAGATCATTCTTGTCAGCCATAGCAACAGTATATTAGACATGGTAGAAAAGCCATGCTTGGGAGGTAAACCTAAATCAGGGCTGAAAAAGTTTGATTCCTCTCTGCTGGCAAAACAAAAGCACAGTGAAGATGCTTGAATTTCTACCAAGGAGGATCTTGAGGGTGGCCATATGGTTGGGTTAAAGGGCCGTTTGAAGTTTATTTTGCATGTGATTGAGAAAATGGATCTATTAAATAATAGGTGGAAATTAAAGAGAATGATAAAACAAACTCTCCTAAACCACCTTTTACCATCGTCCCTATAAATGTTTGTGTGTGTGTGTGT